CATCAACCATAGGAAACTGCGAAAATCGTCCTCCAACGTCAGGCTCGATTTAGGGAACACACTCGCTTGCCCTGGTTGCATTACGAAACTTTAGAAAGATTACGCGCTGTCTTTATAATTCGCAATAGTGATATGTGAACTTGCAACAGACGCGTAACTAACATTAGAATGGGTCCTTGAGAAACCCTTGCGTGACACAAATGCTAAGTGCGGACACGCACCCGGGAAACCATGTGAAAATTGGGTATTCAGTTGTGGGAATCCCCCACAGTACATAGGAAATTTCTCCGACTATACGAAATTTCCCCGACTAAATAATAAAAACTAAATATCAGTATTTCCTTTGTGAGACGCTCCATATTTATTTTGCAATTTTTCATCAAGTACCCAAGCGGAATGCTTTTGCGATTTCTTTGGTCCGCGAATTCACTTTGTGAATTTTTCTATCGTGAAAATTGTTTTAAACCAATTAAGAACATATGTTGTGAAAGAACCTAGCGTTATTTGGCCTACGGCGTGTCGATGTATCGCATTATGACTTTGGTCCACAGTGTATTACGAAAAGCTATAGCCAAAAAGAAAACATCGCTTCTGGAACCCGTGGGATCTCTGTTTTCTTTGGTGCTGCCCCCGACGACCGAACTTGCCAACCGTCCCCTGTCTAGTATCGTCCATACTTTCTATTTCATAAGTCATTAAAAATAAAAGCATGCACAGAGCGTTCCGTAAGAAGGGATTACTGTGAAACTAGCATCGCCACTGCTGACAATATGAGCTACAACAGCCACGCGTGCTTATATAGAGCATCTACTAGCAAGAGGTTTTGTTCCAGACAAGGGCTAGAATGCAAAGTTTGGACGTCGTTATTCGAACTATTTTGCAAATAGAAAGATAGTGCAGCTTCCCGGAATCTCAGGAGCAGCAAAAACTAGACCAAGTGTTGTATTTATTGTCCGCGGCGTACGTGTGCATGCAATTCACAGGCGATTTTAACCGGCAAGCGACACTTTCATTGAAAGTTACCTCAATCACATTTGGGTTTCTGTAGAAACACAACATCTCCAGATCCTCTTTTATAGAGCTATTTTTCATAAAAAGGTTCTTTGTCCTCGTGATACAGATACTAAGAAGTAAGCTATCTGCAAGTGAAGCTAGAATACACTCAGATGCTAACTTGTATAAGCGGAGGCAAGATCAGTAGTGTGGACACCTGAATTCGCTTCTGCAGATACATAACAGATAACTGGATGAAATAACTGTCAGAGTGTGACTTTTTTTTGTTACGTCCTTATTCGGTTAAACATTGTGAGCCTTCCTTGGAACTCATAATCGGCAAGGCAGCCACCTCGCGGATTGCATAATGGGAGAGAATGATTATGATACCTGATATAGCAAAAAAACAAAATATGTTTATTAAACCCCAATTTTCATTCATTTTAATCCATCTTTTTGTTCCTATAGACCAACGGCAAACGCCGGTGAAATCGATTACTAACAACATGTTTTTTAGATACCATTTTATTGACCAACTTCTTGCAGCAAGTACAATTTGAGCATAATCATGTCAGCAGTGGGCACATCTTTTAAAGGGCGCGTAATAGGTGTTTGATGACGTGTATTTGTGCTCATGTATAATCTAGTAGCCGCCCAATAATATGCACTGCAATTTTAAGATGGCAAAGGCGCTTATTGAGCCCGTTACCCTAGAAATACGCGCGAGCTATATTTTCCTTTGCATTCTTCTGCGCGAGTGATGTGTGCGCTCGCCTGCTTCCCGGAGCGTGCGCTTACGATGCTCGCGAAATCCTTTTTTGTTTCGATCACATGTTCACATAACACACATTCTGCGATTTGTTATCATCTCTGGGACGCGATTATGCTTTGTAGTATTTCCAACACCCACGATGCGACATTAGGTATTTACGACGGCGCAGCTGAGGCAACAACTGTGGAAGGAGCTAAAACGATCCGAGAGGCAGCGCGCGTGCGGAACACTCCACGCAGCAAACCATTGCTCGCGGTTGGCCGACAAGTGCCGTTCGTCGTTCGGCCATGTTCGGCAATGATTCTGGTTCTGCGATATTCGCAAAAAAAAATTTTGATCATATTTTTATTAGAGAAAAAGGCGGCTCATGATGGTAATTTTTGGATTTTCAGGATGCTTAGGGCCCGCAGAATTAGTTGTGACCATGTAAAGACGGTTTGCAAAACCTTCTTAGTGCCCCTTTAAAGTAAGAAATGAGGAATTAGAAATTAGTTAACTATACTATCTTCTTACTCAGATACAAGCTCGCTGCCATCAGCAGTAATACATTAACTCATCTCTAACATGGCATTGCATAACGCGATGTATGGGTGGTTTTTAAAGATCCAACATTCTCAGTAAAGAAAACTTGCGTTAGGAGACTTTAATGTTCCCATTAGTTTATTTCTCTTGAAGGCCTCTATGAACGAGGTTACTCGTGCAATTAGGCGGAAGATTAAGATATACAGTCGAATCTCATTAATTCAAAATTTCTTAATTAAAACTTGCAGATAATTCAAACTAGCATGCAGGTCCCATCCTATGCGTCTTCATGGGAGGAAACTCCAGGTAATTCAAACTTTGCTTTATTTAAACAAATTTTCAGTACCCCTCGAATTTGAATTAACGAGATTCGACCATATTTCTAATTAGTCACGATATGCATATAGTTCTAATTAGAATGTTGCTTGGAATAATCGACAACTACGAAGTCTGTAAATTCTAGAAAGATTGGATGCATGTGCGTCGCTTTCTGGGTCCCTTAAATATGTCAAAAAGCGGCACGCCAGCGCTTTTTTTAAGTTTGTTATCACCCCCTTTTTAGCTCCACCAGCGTTCCGCCCGTTCCAGAAGTAATAGCTTGCGCGCAGCATTACGCTACATAGATGCCCTAGATATTTATGAAATTTACGGATTTACTGGTTTTTGATGATGCCCAGCAATCTTTTGCTTAGAAATATATGTCTGCTGTTACTTATTAAAATGTTAATTAAGAACTGTATGATAATTATCCGCTTATTTGCACAAACAAGCTCGTTCCTAGTGTCCGCCATGTCAGGCAGGCTAATTGCAAAATTAAAAGTGTCCTAACGCAAGTTTCCTCCCGTTAAAATTCTGGACCGCCTAAGAACAGGTTGTGCATATTTGCACCACCACATCCCGAAAGGTTCGTTTCCTCCTTCGTGGTGCATGACTTCACCAGGGTTTGGTTCATTCAAATGATCAGGTGCCTCCTCCGGCAGTGTTGTTTCCACATCCCCTATAACGTGCCTGTGGTTCCGATAAACATGTTTCTTGTAGGAATCAAGACTTGCGTACATTCTTGGGCACCCATCGATGTTGCAAAGCACCTTAAGTCCCCCTCGCAGCTGTGGACATCCCGCAAAAGGAGGAAGAGCTGTAAGAAATCTCGCTGCGAAGAACTCTCATCTTGGGCAATGGAAGTGCACACGCTGTTCCTCCATCTTCTGGCGCTGTGTACTGTTACGGTCTCTGCGTCATAAAGAGGCCACACCTTGACTCACCGCGCTCACTACCTTGAGACGCGCATTGCTACAGCGTGAGTTGCGCCCGACGCGGCCGACGGTCTTCACGTCACCGCAGCAAAGACAGTTTTTCCCGAATCCCTTTCCTTCATCATCACGCTCACCTCGATGCGTTAACAGCCTCCACCTTACCTATTTCGTGTAGGCAGTGCAGGTTTTCTTTTCTAATTATGCACGTCACCGGGTGACATAGGTACAATGCATCGAAGGGGACGGCATCGACCTTTTAAAAACAGTATACACCAAATATTCAAACGTAAAAAAAAACGAAAAAAACATGCAGAGGAATAGAGGTAACAGGCTGTGGATGGGGAAAAACGTTAAAAGCGATAAGGCTCAATCCAAGGAACAGACCGGCGTGGATGCTACGAGACGTCCCAGCCAAGCAAGCGTCGAGTGAGCATCACGTGACCCCAAGCTGCACGTGTCGCCGCGCCCAACGGGCGGGTCACGTGATACTCTTTTTTACTGCTATTGGAATTTGGGGCTCATAGTCGTAGCGAGGGCCTCCCCGCAGTCTTTGTTTCCTTTGTTCTTTTTTCGGTCGGCTTTACGGCACCCTTACAGCCGGCCGGCACACACTCGTTCTTTTCGTTTTGCTGAAATAGTCCGAAACATCTGTGTACAATGCGGGAAGCGTCACAAGAATGTCCCCTCCGCCTTCCTTCGTCCATTTAGGGAAGAGCGAGGGGCGGGGGTTCCTTTTGTCACTCGCCGGCGCCCGAAGCGCTCGAGAGCATGTTTTTGGAATCTGTCGGAAGCCGCCTTTTACTGCCACGCTCCCCTTCCTTCAGGCTGGTGTTGCTGAACGTGCAAACAATTTGAACTGTAATTGCCTGATTGCAAACTGTGCTCCGTCTACGAGGATCAAACTGCTTCAATTCGTAACGTACTACCGGCCAAAGAGCGTATTCAGGGTGGTCTGAGGCACCCGTCTTGATGCATACATCTGTCCCACAGTTCGTCCGTTGCCTATGGATGCACGTGTGCACGTACGTTCTAAAGACTAAGGTCACGCAGTAACCCCCCCCCCCCCCCCCTGCCCCCTCCCCTTAAAAAAAGAGCCATGCAAAAGCAAAACACGAGCCAAGCTAGATCTGCTGAAAAAGTCCCTTTTTGTCCTTGCCTCTGTTAGTTCTCCCAAGAGGTCTGGCCCTGAGAGAAGCAGGGGTATACATTTATATATATTTTTTTACTAGCATTTTTTTTTTTTTTTTTTTACGGGGTGCGAACGGGAATGGGGACAGGCGCTCCAGCGTTCTAGCCACATCCTCTGAGAGCCACGCATACGGCTTCGTTTACCATCTTGGAAGCTTCTTTTCTCCCCTCTGAGGGGAGAGAGCGGTTGTCTGTGTAAGGAGGAAGACTAATTGGAAGGGCCAAACCGTAGGAACGAACCACGACCAGTACCTACCAAAGAAGCAGCATTGCTTGCAGGGACAGCGTCTCGCTTCTCCGACACGTTGCTCTGGCGGCAGTCTTAAACTCTTGGTCTGGTGGCTTCACATTTTGCTCTTGTAAACGGAAAAATGTTAGCTGACGAGACAATCACGTGCCTGACTTTCTGTGGCTTGTCTGCTAAAAAGGTTCTAGTTCCCGGAAGCTTGAAGCTCGCTGATTTAAAGATAGTCTTGAAAGCACACCCGGATTTCAATGACATCAGAGACGACACCATTCTGCAGGTAAGTCGCCGACAGGCTTGAGCGCATTATGCTTGAAGATATTACACCGTTTGTTTCTCACCTTAATTGCGTTTGTTTGTTTTCGCGCCTGGTTCCAACTTTCTAGCGCGGTCAGCCTAATCCTCACTTCTACTGCCACTTTCGTGCTTAAATGTGGCTGATCATAGACAAAGAACAGCTTCGACAAACTTCAGTCAACACGGATTAATACAGCGCATCCTGCATATTTTGCGAGATATCAATATGTAAATTATAATGCAGAAACGCGTCGAAGCGAAGGCCAATCTTTTCAGGTTAGATTTTAGGGATAGCTCCAAAGCGAATACGAAAAAATAAAGAAATAGACTAGCGTGGATAATATTTGCGACAAAGTAAGCCCTATTCAGTTCACTTATGCACATAGTATAAGAGACATCCTGAAATTCCATGGCACATTAAGGCGACGCCCACACTGTAGTTTACAATAGGACACATTAGTTGCGTCTTTTAGGTATCCCCACAGGTGCTCCAATATTTCTAGTTTACTGTCGAAGTTGTAAATAATGGAATTCATTTTCAAACATGCAGCCTTTCTTTGACCTTTCGGCAAACGCGATGTACCGTTGCGCACAGACTCCGGGTACATTTCAAGCTTTTATTTTACAATATTCAATTCCCTTCTCATTTCAGATTAAGGACAAAGACTTCGACGAGTATGTGGACATTGAGGACAACAGGATTCTGGATGATAAATCCAAGATCATTTATCCTCAATGTATGGTGACTCAAGCGGGGAATTTCAATGACAAGTAAGTTTGTTGTTGTTTCATGTAGAAAATTTGGTTTCTTGGCTAGTTCACTCAAGATATTAATTTATGTGCTTTATTATTTATATTAATTTACGGAATTTAGCACTGCTGATATACATTGAGAGCACCTAAGTGTACTTAAAACTTATATTAATGTTTTTTAATCAAATATTACAGTTATAGGTAGGAATTTCATTTTTCCTTTAATATTCCGCGCAATGAAGTGTTTTATGTTAGTTTATATTCTGTAATCCCTCAGCATTTCCTCCATATAAGTGTAAAACTAAGCAGCACTACCTTTAGAAAGATCGAGGCGTTTTTATTCTTTTTAATGCACATCCCGAGATTTAAAACGGAAATTTGATCAAAAAACGGTTTTGACTGGTTGTCTCAACTTGATACGAAAGCAATTCTGAAGTTACTAGACCCTCAACTCTTATCGCCAAAACATTTGGCGTCGGAGATCTTTGCTGTGAAACAGTAATATAACCCGATTATAATAATATTAATGGTGCAAAGTTTAGATATAAATATTTTCTTTCCCATGCCGCATTTTAGCCACAAAAATTTGTTTAAATTTATGTTCAGAAATGTTTGCCTAGGCGACGAGCTGTTTATAACGTTTGCCTGTAAATTACAGCAAAACCGACTGCAAAGAAATTTAGTGCTCCGGTTTTCCCGGGCTGCTAATCCTGAAGAGTAAAATATGTAAACCATTCAATAGAAGCATGGTTGAGTCTAATATATTTTCATTTTTGATTTCTCATCTGCTCTAAAATTTACCAATTTGGCGGCAACAAATGAGAATGGGACACTGCATCACGCGTTGCCCTTGGTTTATTTGGAAACTCAACATGTTTAAACAAAAAGAAAAATCTCTGTTTTATTCTAGGACCTGCACTGCTGTCGTGGAGCCAGTAGCACCGTCGTCAGGTGTCCTGACGGCGGTGACCACAGCAATTACACCGATAATTTCCCCAGTGGCAACGCAGGGCTCTGCTCTGCTCCAGTAGGGACCCGAAGGCGTACAGGCTACCGGAGGTGCCTTTTGGCATTCGAGCTAGGCTGGTTACCCTGACCAAGGGCAACATTCTTGATCCACTTCGGCATCGTATCATCGAGTGGCTGTACTACGACCTGTGCACATATACAATGTAAGTGGCAATATGTTATAATTTTCTTATTCGATGCTATATTTAAAACTTGCAAAAAAATCCCTCCCAAGGTAACTTGCAGTTCATTGTCGCATTCTATTGTTCAACATCAAAGCAAAGCAAAGCTATTTTGTACAGAGTGTTTATACATAGTGAAGTCTGTCTACGTTATAGCGACAGTGGTTCACGCAGTAGACGAGAAATTGAGTCAGTGCAGCACAACTGTTAGGCTTCTAAGAAGTAACACGGTGTAGAGATTACTAATTATTGAAACCTGTGACGGTACATTGCTCATCCAGATGAAAAAGGCCAGGGGACTCGGGCTGAACCCAGTATTCCGAGCCGCGAGCTTACGCTCCACGTGCCCTGAGCCGCGACGCGCTACCATCCGCCTGTTTGTCGCAAATCAATTTACACCGGGACAGCTAATAAAAATAATGTAAGCGGTGCAAGCGCGAGGTGCCAGTTATAAAAGGTGATTTGACGTATGTGTTCGCGCAGCTTCTGTGTATGTCTTCTCACTACCAAATGCCATTGATTCAAAGGGTTAAACACCTTCGCCAGAATTTCAAGAAAATACAAAACGCTCGCGAAAACTGTCCAAAATATATTCGAGAGAAAATTTTACAGCCTTTCTATCAATTATTTTGCAAGGTACCCCGGCATCTTGCACAATATGCCGGAATATCGTTAACGTCAGCTCCATAAAAAAAAAAAAAGTAATCAATTTTTGGTTGAAGTCAAAGCTTAGGCACGAGCCCAATGCTCTGTGCGTTCCCGACTCGCAGCGTGGCTCGCGCAGTGTGGGAACCGTCGACTTCGGTCGCACGGAAGCTGAAATGAAGTATAGAGGCACATTCAGCTGCTAGCGCGCTGGATGAACCTCTTGCGGAAGTTTTATCACTTCGACCGATGTCCGCTGCAGGATAAAGAAGCCTTGAATTGAAAGTGCACTTACGGCTAAAAGTCTATTTGTATTTTTATGTATGTTGTTTTCTTACAATTTTGAAAATTGCTTGTGCTTCGTACCTTTATTTAGATTTTTATGTACTCTTACAATTTCAAGAGTTAGCGGGAATTTTTATCTCCCCAATGTTCCTGAGAACTCTAATCCAAAGTCGTCTATTAACTCCATTAAAAGAGAGGTCACACATAGTTCCTTTCATGCATATATTTCGACGTGTGAAACATTCATTTTACGTTAATTTTTTCATACGGATGTACTAAGGGCTGCAGTAAGAGGCAAGTTTCCAAACTGGCGACTGAATCTTAAGTCACACATACAAACCACCGTCTTATTACTTCTCATGGCATTTCTGGCATCACCTTAGATCGTGACCTAAACGCTACATTTAGTAATATGGCTCCATTATATTAATAACAATGTTTAGCGCTCTCTCAACTAGATATTTTTATCTTTCAGGATCCCACAAAGACGTCAGTCTCAGTCTACCCGGCCGTGACTTACAGCGGGCATCATCCCACAGCTTCTGACGCTGCATGAATGACGTTTGAGAGCCTCACGCTTCCAGCTCTGGATATCCCGGAGGCTATCGAGCTGGCCTTTTGCGCGTATTGGGCGTTTAATGTGGAGTATGGCCCGCACGTGAAAAACACGTTTCTGCTTTTAGAAAACCTGTGTAACATGATGCAATCTCTGCCATCCGTGGCTGTGATGAAGGCGGCAACAGCTATTCGTTGTTAGCCGCATGCTGTTGGAGTGAAATTGTAAAAATGTTTTGTCTATGAAATAAAACTGTGATATTGCACCTCATGTAATTCCATGAAAAGCTCCCCACCACTATCCACCATATTCCTGCGTGGTGTATTTGGAGGGGCACGTGGTTTTAAATGAAATCACGTCATTCCACTACGGTTCTTTATGGCATGAAAATTATTCCATTGAAAACAGAATCCAGAGAGTCCATTGCAGGAGTCAGGTGAGTCTAGGAAAAAAGGATTCAAGTAATTCCCTTCGGGGGAATCGTTGGAAACCAGGAACGGAATCTAGCAATTCCCGATAGAGAGTCACGTGATTCCAGAAGAAAAAGAATCCAGTGATTCCCGTAGGGGGTAGCCTGATTCCTTTGGATATTGGAGTCTCGTGATTCTAGTGAAAGGGTCACCTGACTCCTGCAATACTGGAGTGCCCTGATTCTACTGAGAGAATCCAGTGACTCCTTGTGAGAGGGGATCACTTGACTCCAGAGAGGGAAGGCGTCACGTGACACCACCAGCTGAGAGAGTCAGCAGACTCTAGTGGAGAGGGCGTCTGATGACTCCACCGGGCGCTAGAGTCATTTGAGTCTTTGAAAGGAGCCACCACAGGGACAGATTTGGACTCCCCCAAAGGGAGTCAGCGTTGATTCCCTTTTTTTTTAGAGTGTGCTCCAGTACCATGGTGAGCGGCGGCTTTCTTCTGCAGTTGCACGAATCAGCTCGACCTAGCCCTGCGTGTCTGACAGCGTAATCGCTGGAACCCAGTACTGCCGGCCAGTCGTTCAGTCGTAGCGCAGTTACTCACCATCCTGACCAGTTACCTTCCCCAGTGGCTCGCGTCGATACTTAGAGGAGTGCCTCGACCTCCCGACTACGTTTCACACACTTCAGCGAATTCCCTTATGCATATAGATTCCCCAACGATCCACATGATCGAGTGCACGGCATGTAGCAAGTCTATAAACAACGATGGCAGGCACATGTCGTGTTCGGATTGCAAGTCCAATTACCATCTGGGACAATCTTGCTGTGGGATTGCTGATAAGACCTTCATCACCATGGGACAAACGAAACGAGAAAAATGGAAGTGCCGTGCGTGTCGTGGGAAGGATGGTCAGGTGGGAGCATCTGAGCCGAAGTCGTCAAGCTCCTCTGAAGGGATAAGACTGCTCTCTTCACAACTAACAGCTATGAATGAGAAGCTGGAGGGATTACTCTCATTGAAGGGTAGCGTCGATTCCCTTATGACACTGTCGGCCAAACTAAACGAACTTTTAGCCCTCAAGCCCATTGTCGAGAGTCTAAGGGAGACTGTGAACGGCCTACAACACTCAATGAATTTCTTTTCGGCCGACTATGACCGCCTCCTCAAGTTGGCGACCACCAACGAACAGAATGGCAAAGCCCTGAAAACGGAGCTTTGTCATTTAAAGTCAACAGTGGAGGCGCAGGCATCCGAGATCCAAGAGATGCGGGTCGCCCTAAACGACAACGAGCAGCACAGCCGTCTGCCAAACCTGGAAGTGCACGGACTTCCTTTCTGGCCTCATGAAGATCTTATGTCGTTTGCTGAGACTCTATCGAAAAAACTGAAGATCTCAAACTTTCAGAAATCTGACATTCTTGCTCTTCTCCGCTTGCAATGCAAATATGCAAAAAACCCACCGATTCTGATCAAATTCGCGGCTGTCCACATGAAGGAACCCTGGATGGCAGCGCGGGGTACGCTTCGTTCGCTGGGTCAAGATAGTTCTCTTCCCAGACTGTACTTAAATGACAACCTGACCCACGCGAACAAGGAGCTGTTTTGGCGGGAAAGACAGAAGGGCAAGGAACAGGGCTATAAGTTCGTCTGGGTAACCAGAGCTAAAATCTACGCAAAGAAGGCGTTGGGTTCTCCACCTGTGAGAATTAACAGTTCGCTAGACCTTGAAGAGATTCTTTAGATGTATGGCAGATTTCGCTCAGGTTTCAAATTTTTTATCTCTTCGAAATTTTTTTGGAAATTGCGAGGAAACGTTTTTTTCCGTAGTACACGTTAATATTCGGAGCATAAGTAAACATTGGGCAGAATTCGAAATTACCTCAAGAGCAATTGCTTCTTCAGTAGATGTATTTTTTCAACAGAAATTAACATCCCCTCTTCTGCAACAGATCAATTCTCTTTACCGTGTTATCGTGGTACTTTTTCCACTCGAGATATAGGTCATGGTGGTGGTACCGCGGTTTTCGTGAGTGATAAATGGTCATTTTCAGATATTTCGATGACGTTCGCTCAGGCCGAGTTCATTGCCCTTTCTGTGGAGAATTCAATCAATTCCATATGTTTGCTCGCAATGTATAGACCACCGTCCACAAATATAGGGTCTTTTCTCGTAGAATTTGAAGAAAACACTACTGATCTGAGTTCGTATAGTCAATTATGCATTATAGGAGACTTTAGTATTGATATCTTGAATGTGTCTAAATCTAATGTATGCAATTACCTCAACACTTTGGCAACTCACGGTATTGAGTCCGTTATTAATTGTCCAACTAGTGAAGAGTTCCTTTTAGGGAGACTTGTTTCCTCATACATTGACCACATTAACCTAATAACATCTTCGACTGTCGTGAAATCAGCAGTTATTAAGGAAAAACTTGCCGACCACTACTTTGTGGCCTGCCGCTGGTCAATCGGCGTTCTTAAATCGCGCGAAACATCAGCCCGCATTAATGTTACAGGTTTCGACACCACAGCCTTTGATAAATTGGTCTCAGCTTTTGACTGGAACCACTTTTTGAGGACCGTTAACTACACCGACGTTTATCCAAAGTTTGTGCTGGTTTTCAAATAGTTTTATGAAAGATGCCGGAGAGAAATATTCGTAAAGAAACGCAACACTGATCTTGTGTGGCTGAATGTGAATATTTTAGATGCGATAAGGAAAAAAAATGCACTATGGGCTCGCTGCCGTCGTTCACCCAATGATGCACACCTACGAATACTCTTTAAATCCTGCCGTAACAAAGTAAACGCGATGATTCGATCAGCTAAGCGCATTTCTTATCACAGAAAATTCTCCCAATCTCATTCGGATGCCCGTAAAACTTGGTCTTTGATAAATGAACTCCGAGGACACCATAGACAATCCATTGATGATACGCTGAAACGACA